GAACCCAGAGAACGTGTCCAACGCGTTGGAGTTCCCAGAGGCCCTCTGGGTGTCCCCGGAACGTCCTGGAGACTTCCGAGGCCGTCTTGAGGCGGTCTGATGCCGTCTTCGAGCCCTCTCTCGGCCCGTGGAGCATGTCGGGAAGCTATGGAGGGAGAGGGGGCGGATGGGGAGAGAACGTGGGGCCGCAGTTTGCCGAAGCTGTTGGGCTGCGCGGTTCTCCATCCGGCCGTTGGGGAAGCCCTCTGGGAAGCCCCTCGGGGAACAGGATGAGGAGGACGAGGAGGAAGAAGGTCGTTCGACAAGGCCGTGCGCATCGCTGAGTCGGTGAGGAGGAGGAGGAGGAGGTGGAGGAGGAGGAGGAGACGCAGGAGGAGGAGGAGGAGGAGGAGGAGGAGGAGGAGGAGGAGGAGGAGGAGGAGACGAGGAGGAGGAGGAGGAGGAGGAGGAGGAGGAGAGGGAGGACCAGAGTGGAGCAAGGATGCATGCAACAACCACTCTGCAGTACACTCTGCCGTTCAAAGAGTCCCGTCCTCGTCAGAAATCCCTAGAAGTGCTCCTGTCCACTGCGGGAAGCGCCCCCCCCTTGATTGACGACCGCCTGATGGGCCTGCCAGTCGGGTGAGACGCCGTTCTGGAAAGGACCCATCCTCCATTCTTCTCGGAGGTGGATCGACCTCCTACCCTGGCACGTCGATTAAGGAATTGGCCGTTTTCGGTTCGCGAGAGGGAGTGCGTCGCGGCCGTCATTTTTGCGGGTCCAGGTCCGTCGGTTTCGGTCCCAGGCCGTTTTCACTAAGGGGAGGTTTACTAAAGGGAGGTTTGTCCACCGCCCATCTTCTCGCTCTCAGAAACGGGAATTGGCAACACGATAAATGGACTTTGACAAGGGGCCGCCCTCCAGCCGTGCACTTGTTGCACACTGTGGAACTTCTGGTCGTAGACTCAGAGGAAATCTGAAGCGAGAGCTGCAGTCTGAACCTGTGTCCGCCTCCATCTGTAGAATCTTTGGAAGCTTTGGAGACGATCGTGCGCGGCGCTGAAGCGAGAGTTCACTTTGAAAATCACCGGCCCGCGATCATTATCGTTTGTCTTGTTTCTACGGCGAGATCTGCCCTGAGAACACGGCCCGGCCGGCCCTCCGTCCCTACGCTGTCGGAGCTGCTTCAGCCTCAGGATCGCAGATTGTCATGAGCTCTCAACCGAGACGCCCAGGGATGTGCTCTATAGGCAGAGGGGTGGAGGGCGAGGATCACTGCAGTACACCTTAGGCGATGCTTAAGAAAACTTAAGTTTTCGGCCAGAGTCTCGATGATTCTTAATGTTTCAATGTGAGTCCGAAGATTTCAATCGAAATTCTGGGTTTTTATCCAAATTCTGAGACTCTGAGTTTCTTAACCCATGATTTCTTAAGCATTTCGCAAAGTGTAGGTCCATCATCGCCCGAAGGCATGCGCTCTGGGCCCGGCTGCTGACCAAGTCTCTCGAGACGTTCGCGGTGGCGATGCCCTCTCAGGAGGCCGGGCCCCCTCCTCTTCACCCTGCGCGGCCCCCTTCGCAGCACGCCCGATCGGGAGCGCGCGCCTGCTCGTGGTGCCTCCCCCTCTCCTCGTGCGACAGCGCATCCGCACAAGCTAGTCAGGAGGAAAAGAAACACACAGACACAATTCTAGACGCTTCGCTTATCCCCACCAGCCCATCCCGAAACGATGTCCAGGCGAGTTGAGGTGATCAGGGAAGTGCGGCAGCAAAGAGGAGGACGGCCGAACCGTGCAAAGGAGTGATGAGGAGAAGGAGGACGTGGATGGATGGATGGATGAGGGAGTGGGAAGACGGAGGATGAATAGGATGAGGAGGAGGCGGAGGAGGAGGAGGAGCAGGAGGAGGAGGAGGAGGAGGAGGAGGAGGAGGAGGAGGAGGAGGAGGAAGAGAAGGAGTAGGAGCAGGAAGGAGGACCAGGAGGAGGAGGAGGAGGGCAAGCACAAGGGCCAGAGGTCTCTTGGATGCCTCTAGGAGCCTCTTGGAGTATCTCTTGGGCGATTCTTGGGGGCCTCTTGGGACGTCTTGGGGGTCTCTTGGCGATCCTGGGGGGCTCTTCGGGGTCTTGGGTGCCTCGGGGGGGGGCCTCTTGGGGCCTCTGAGGGTCTTCTTGGGGGCCTTCTGGGGGCCTCTTGGGGGCCTCTTGGGGCCATCTTGGGGCCATCTTGGGACCTCTTGGGGCCTCCTGGGCGCTTCTTTGTGCCATCTTGGAGGAGATCTATCAAAGAAGAGCTGAGCTTTAATTAGCGGTGCCCCCCCAGGAGGCCAAAATGGGGCCAAAACCCTGCTAAAATCAATGATTTTGGCTTCCTCGCCGAGGCTGTTTTGGACGCTCTGACCGCTCCCCGCCCCTCCTGTCCAGGTCAGTGGGGAGGGGGTAGGGGGAGGGGTAAACCCCTCCCCGAAGGGGAAGAGGGAGGGGTGGAAGAGGAAACGCCCTAAACCACCGACGCCCAGAGGGCTGGTGGGATTAATCGTCGATTTCTCAAAACATATGGGGAATCTTTTGATTTGTGTGTATTTTTGGTGTGTCCCAGGGCCCTTTCAGCTAGCGCGACCCGCCGCAGGCGCGCTGTGCATGCGCCCGCGCGCCTGCGCAGCCTCCTCGTGTCCGGGTGTGTGCGGTCACTCTTGCCCTGCACAGGGGCCGTTCGTGGGCATCGTGCCTTCGTGCTACCGCTTTCCTGCTGTTTCGGCATTCCCGATTCGGGACGATTCTGGGATGCGGTCGCCCTGATCTGCTGCCGCTGGACTTGGTCTGTTTATCCGAAGCATGTTGAACCTCGCCGGTATTGCCGCTCCTCTGGGGGGCCCGCTCCGCGGTTCGGTCGGTGCACTTGCCCAGCTCGGCTGGGCCGTGGAAGTGGCTCATGCTCTTGTGGGCGAGGGCGCTGACGGTATCTCACCCTCTGCTGATTGTCTTCTCTCCGTAGTTATGAGCACGACGGTAGTAGTCGCCGACAGCGACGGCCATTATGACGGCGGCGAGGGAAGGGGTGGAGTAGGAAGGGCACCGGGGGAGGGGAAGCGGGGATGAGGGACTGGTCGAGGGAGGGGTGGCGAGGGAAGGATTGGAGGGGAGGAGAGGAGGTGAGGGGAGGAGTGGAGGGGAAGGGAGGAGGAGAACGGGGTAGGGAGGGGGGGGTGTAGAGGAGATGGGAGGTTGAGGTCGGGGTCGAGGGACCGAGGTCTGGGGGAGGGCAGGGGCGTGATCCCTGCTCCCACCCAAACTCCGAGCAGTGGTTGGGCTCCTTGAGGTGTCCTCGGGTAGGATAGCAGTCAGAGCTTGTGGGTCCCCGCAGCTTAGTGATCATGTGCACTCGATCGCAGTCAGAACATGCTCCCCTGAAACTGCACGTGGGGACCGGCCATCACGCAGGATAACTGCGACTCTTTGGACCCCCCGCGAGGCTGTTCACGAGCGGCCAGCGCCTGCGGGCGTGCTTGTGACGCCCCGGGGCTTCCTTCTGGCTCCCTGGGCTGCCTGGCTGCCTGCTTGGACAGTTCCTGGGCGCCCTGGTATTACCAGCCTCGAACGTATCCCAATCCCTAAGATTGACACGCCAAAAGGCGATGACAATCTTAGGGATTCGCCCTCAAAAAATAAGGGAATCCCTAAGGTTGGCATCGTGATGAGGAGGTGCCCAGCATAGGGATAGGGATATGTTCCAGGCTGGTAATAGTAGGGTCGAAGGATTGCGCCGATTGCGCCGCGCCCCCAGTGTGTCGGCGATGCGGCTGATCCGCAGCCTGATGTTCTCCATGCAGACACCGCCGATGCATCGCCGATGCATCGGCGAGGCGGTGCGATCCTCTCACCCCATCTTCTCTGATCCCATCTTCAGGCGATCGCAACCATGGGTTAAGTGGGAGTGGATTAGCGACGGGTCCCGTTTCCATGGGAAATCGCGGATTTCAGCCGCCGAACGAGGCGGCACCGGCAACATTTGGGGGAGGGCACCTCCCCCGATCCATGGATTTGGCGACCGCGCGCCACATCCATGGATCGCCAATCCATGTTTGCGCGCCCCCGACAGTTCGGTGACCCTCGGGAGGTGTGTTCGCCCAGTGTGTGTGTGTGTGTGTGTGTGTGTGTGTGTGCATCGATCGCACGCAGCCTCCGCCGGCCCTCGGCCACTCGCGCGGCCTGCGTCGAATTGGGGGAGACCCCAGGGAAGGAGGCGCACGTCGGCGGCGCGCCCAGGGGCGGGGATGGACGGCAGAGTGGGGCGCGCCCTCGCAGCAGGCTCGGAGGGCCTCCGGCCTTGCGCGAAGGCTTCCCTGCGCCTCCCCCGAAGCCCTGGGCGGCCCCTCAGAGGGTCGCAGGGATGCTCCGAGAGTGGGCTACGCGAGGGCTGGGCAGGGATGAGGATGGAGGCGGGGACGCGGGATGAGAGAGGGCCGAGGGAGGAAGGAGGAGGAGGGGGAGGGAGGGAGGAGGGAGGGAGGGAGGGAGGCAGGGAGGGAGGGAGGAGGGAGGGAGGGAGGGAGGGAGGAGGAGGAGGAGGAGGAGGAGGAGGAGGAGGAGGAGGAGAGGAGGAGGCATAGGAGGAGGAGGCAGAGGAGGAGGAGAGGAGGAGGAGGAGGAGAGGAGGAAGAGGAGGAGGAGGAGGAGGAGGAGGAGGAGGAGGCCGAGGAGGAAGAGGACCGAGAAGCCCCGCCGCAACTGAGGATGCCTGCCCCCTCTTGTCTGCCCCTGCGCGCCGTGGACCCCCCCCCCTGGAGAGCTCGACCCTGCAGAGATCTTGCCCCCCCCCTCCCCAGGATCTTGACGTGCTTGTTGGACGCCCTCGGCAGATTTTCATCCTCGAGCTTCTGGGCTCGGCGAAGGGCCCCCGGGAGATCGAAGGTGCAGAAAAACATGCTCGGAGCGCCGCCGAACACGCTGGCGCGAGCGCGCTATATCTGAGGATCATCGATCCCCTGATGTGTGGCTCCTCGGGCACCTCTCGGGCGCCCTCGTCCTCTCTGGGCCCTCTTCGTCTTCGGGTCGGGGTTTTCCTCTGCTCCGTAGCGTGCCCTTGGAGGGGCACGGCGAGGAGGAGGAGGAGGAGGAGGTGGCGTAGGGCAAGGATGAGTAGCGGCGAGGGCGAGGGCGGATGCGATGGCGAGAGGGTTAGTATGCAGATGAGGAGGATGAGGAAGAGGAAGATAATGATTCTGATGATGATGATGATGATGATGATGATGATGATGATGATGATGATGATGATGATGATGATGATGATGATGATGAGGATGCTGATGATGATACTAATGATGACGATACTGATGATGCTGATGATGACGATGATAATGACGATGCTGATGATGCTGATGATGCTGACGATGTTGATGATGCTGCTGCTGCTGATGATGATGATAAAGACGATGATGATGCTGCTGATGATGATGATGGTGATGGTGATGGTGATGGTGATGGTGGTTATGGCGGTGGTGGTGGTGGTGGAGGTGGTGATGCTGCTACGGATGTTGTTGTTGTCGTCGTCGTCGTTGTTGTTGTTGTTGTTGGTGGTGGTGGTGTTGTTGTTGTTGTTGTTGTTGTTGTTGTTGTTGTTGTTGTTGTTGTTGTTGTTGTTTCTTGGTGTCGGTGTTGGTGTTGGTGTTGGTGTTGGTGTTGGTGTTGGTGTTGGTGTTGGTGTTGTGTCAAGACCTCCGGGGTTGAAGTGATGAAGGAATTCGGAAATTGGAACGTATGCATTACCAGTGGCGGGCGGTATTTCAATCCCAGGACTTTTTGAGTGTCGGGGACGACGTCGGGGTGGTGTGGTGTACATTCTTGTTCCCCATGAATCGGGGGACACGAGGAAACATGTATACACCAAGATCCCTTGTACACCAGGATCCGCTTCCCTGTGCAAATTTCAGTGCAGGGCCTGAGAGTTCGATTCCCCAGGAACCATCACATCGGGGGTCTGGGAAGGGTGGGCCCCCGGACTCCATGCCTCCCAAATGGGATGCGAGCGGAGTCCGTAGCCATTTGGCTCAAGCGAGGTCCGCGCCTTTGCCTACCAGTCAGAGGCCCGACCGCCCAGTTACGAGTCGTCCATTCTTGTCGCTGCAGCGCAGCGTCATGCAGGGTGTTGTTGTTGCTGTTGTTGTTGTTGTTGTTGTTGTTGTTGTTTTTTGTTTATCACGATGATGAGCAGGAGGAGGATCTCGATGGTGAGGAGGAGGGGGAAAATTATGATGATGATGATGATGATGATGATGATGATGATGATGATGATGATGATGATGATGATGATGATGATGATGATGATGATGATGATGATGATGATGATGATGATGATGATGATGATGATGATGGTGGTGATGATGATGATGATGATGATGATGATGATGATGATGATGATGGTGATGATGATGATGATGATGATGATGATGCTGCTGCTGCTGCTGCTGCTGCTGCTGCTGCTGCTGATGATGATGATGATGATGATGATGATGATTATGATGATGATGATGATGATGATGATGAGGAGGAGGAGGAACGGGACGGCCATGATGGTGGTGATGATGTGATGATGGTGCCGATAGTACGCTGATGATGTTGTTGCCGAGGGACACTACGCGGGCGACGATGATGACCATTACGATGACGAGGAGAAGGAGAAGGAGGACGATAACGCTGACGACGACAATGATGATGTTGCTGCTTATCAACACGTTGATGATGCTGATGATGATGACGATGACGATGCTGCTGCTGATGATGATGCTGATGATGATGGTGATGCTGCTACTGATGATGATGACGCTGCTGCTGCTGATGATGATGACGATGGTGCTGATGCTAATGCTGATGCTGCTGCTGATGATGATGCTGCTGCTGATGATGCTGATAATTATGCTGCTGATGATGATTATGCTGCTGCTGATAATGATGGAGGAGGAGGTGCAGGAAGAGGAGGAGAAGGAGGATAATGAAACTGGAGATGATGACGACGATGATGCGGACGATGACGACGACGATGACGATCATGATGCTGATCATGATGAGGATGAGGATGAGGACGAGATGCTGATGATGATGCTGATGATGATGATGCTGATGATGATGATGCTGATGCTGATGCTGATGCTGATGCTGATGATGATGATGATGATGATGATGATGATGATGATGATGGTGCTGATGATGCTGATGATGTTGTTGATTGGGAGCATGACATCAGTGACGGGTAGGAAGGAGGGGCCAGCAGAACGGGGGCAGAGCAGGCAGAGGAGGCGGATGAGGCGGGCCGCCGGTCCTCGCCGCGCAGGCCCTGCTCAACAGGCGCACGGTGCTCTCGAACTTTAGGACCTGGCCGCTCTCTGCGTCGATCTTGTCCGGCGTGTTGGCGTCACGGTGGGCAGGCGGGGAAGTAGGTCAGTGTCGTTTCACCGATCCCCATCCCCATCCCCATCCCCATCCCGAGCCCCGCCATCTCACCACCCCAGTTGGGGACATACCCTTCGGAACTCGAGGGGAGCAGCCCACATCCCCGCCAGGGGGGCAAATCGGCCAGTGGGGCCCAGCCCACGCTGGTGGGGATCGGTTAAACGATGCTCAAGGTTTTCAGGAGGTTTTCGCGAGGCTTTCCGAGGAGGGTTTATGGAAGCCTTTGGTTTCCTGCAGGTTCTGCCGTCTCGGGATGCATCTCAGCAGCTGCGCCTCGCCGAGAGGCCTTCGGGGGTGCCCTGGTCGTCCCGAACGGTCCCCCAGAGAGCCGAGTGCGCCGCTGGCGGGGCTCGAGCTGCCCCTGCCAGGCACTGCTGCATAGTGCGAGGAAAGGGGTTGGCAGTGGTCTACGGTGGAGACCCATGCCAAGAAACATCCTGCCTGCCTCCAGGGTGCCCTGGATTTCTTGGGTTTCGAGGGTTTTGCCATGGAAAACGCGACGCTCCCACACCATAGATCAATGTGTGCCTGGGGTCTCAGGGTTGGGTTTCTTGTGGAAGGGCTCTTGTGGACTGGCCTCCACTGTACGGGGGCGTCGCGGGAGGACAAGGGGAACGAACAATGCGGATTTCTCGCATCCGCGCTGGACCCCCTGGAGGCGGCGCCTCCGGCACCGCCTCTGGCGCGCTCCGCGCGCCAGGGAGTGGGGTCGAGCGCCGAGCCGAGAAGTCCGCGCGGACCTCCGAGTTTTCACGCTTCTGGCACTCCTCGTTCCCCTCGGGAGAGCGCTCTTGGGATTCCCGTCGGCGACGCTGCGGGGCCCCCGCTGTGTGACCGTGCGCCGCGCAAGGCGCGCGATGATCGGTGCACGGGCTGCCGAGGGTTCCCCGAGGGCTGGCCGCGTGGAGGCGCCCGCCCGAGCGGTGCCCCGGGCCCGCGGGGCCTCGCGCGGCTCGCGCCCCTGCCAGAGGGGCAGTCTCCCTAAGGGCTCGTCGACTTTTCGCCAATCGACTTGTGGTGATCGAGTCAGATCAATCCAGGTACATGCAGGCAAATCGAGGTACACCCAGGTACATCCAGGGAAGTCGAGAGAAGTCTGGGTAAATCCAGATAAGTCCAGAGATCTCCAGGGAAAGTCTGAGCAACTCGCGACCGCTCCAGCGCGAGTCGAAGGACGGCAGAAGTCGTTAAGCCCTTAACGACATTCTGTGGATCTGCGAAATCAATATTACATTAAGTCGGGCCTGTCACTCCACAGGAGGAATCGTCAAACATAGTATCAACAAAAGTCGGGGAATGCTTTTTTAAAATATTTGTTTGAATGTTTGGAGTATGTTCTGAGTATTTTTGATTTTTCGTCCAAAATCCGCCTGTAGGCGGACCTGCCCGACCTGACACTATGTGGATCTGCGACGTTCGTCTCACACATGCCCAGTGATCCGTCTTGAATTTTGATGATGGTGCTCGCCGCGCGGAAGACGGCAGCTGCACTGCGAGGGCGGCGGAAGCCGGCGGCAGTGACGGTGCGCCTTCCGAGCCGCTTGCCCCCATAGAAGCCTGGCAGGGTAGTCTCCTCTCCTGGGTCGGGAGGGGGTCCTGCCGAGCTTGGTCCCTCTCTAAATGGGAAGTTTGAGTCAGCCACGTCAAAATCCCACCCGTTGAAAATCGTGTGAACCCAAATCCTGGGCGGTTGAGGGATCCCGGGATCGGTTGGGCGCAAGCTGGGGTTCATAAGTTCACGCACTGCTGTTGTGGTGGGGCCGTTTTGATGCCATCTTCAGGCGATGAACGCGCCGCCCTGTCGCCACGGTTCCGTCAGGGCATCTTGAAGCCATGTTGGGTCATCTTGAGATCATTTTCGCATAATATGCAGGTCGCTGGACCGCCCAATGCGTCGCCTTGCGAACGATAATGGGTGCATCTTGGAGTTGTCGTCAGGTCGTCTTCAGATCGCACTGGCGTCATGTTTGGATTTTGCGGGCGTCGCTCGGTCACTTTGTAGTCGCCCTTGATGTGCCTGGGTCCATGTTCTGGCCTTGCGGCAGTCTCGGCATCGCCCGCTGCTTATCAGATGGGTCATCGCATAGGCAGCCTGAGACTCACACGATGCCCTGTCGGGATCATGTTGGGCCATGGGGTCATTTCAGTTTCGCTTGGAGGTCATCCGTCGGTGGCCTGGGGCCCGAGTGATACAACTTTAGAGCTATGAGATCACGCAGTCAGTGCGTGCACTTGAGCATAATTCCGAGTGAGGCTTTCCGAGTAAACTTTTGTTGGAGCCAAGTAAGACCTCCTGGTGCTGTAGCTGAGCCTTCCCTGGTTGCCCGTGTAGCCGCAGGGAGGAGTTTGATGGAATCGTAGCGGGTAGAGATCCCCTATCCCAATCGCTCGGGAGGGCGGGCCACTGTTTCAATTTTTTTTTGTTCCTCGCCTGCGGTCGATATGCGACGCTGGGCCCTAGGGATCTCGTTTCCGAACGTCTTCCCGAGACGCGTAGAGGCGTCGGTTGGACAAGGGTTTTTTTTCATCCGTCGGGAGGGCCCTCCGTTGGCCGTCAGCATGGCGGCGCAGAGTCGTAACGAGTTTGGTTGCCCTGCGTAGGCCGCCTGATGCAGGCGGAGCCAGCCCGTCGAGCGAGCTGGGCCCCGCCATCTCTCAGCCTTCGGGTGCACCCACGGAGCTACGGAGCTGCTAGTTCTCATCCCTAGTTGAGTCCTCTTTCTTCTCAACAGCGAGCTGCCAGTTCCTTCTCCTCCTCGTACTCATCCTCATGCTCCTCCTCGTCCTCATCCTCTTCGGCCTCGTCGTGCCCATGTTCGTCCTCGTCGCCGCCGTCGCTGTCGTCGTCGCCGTCCGCCGCCTCCTCCACCTTCTCCTCCCCCTCGTCGGGGTTGACCTCGTCAACGTCGCCGTCGTCGTGGTCCTCGTCCTCCTCGCCGTCCTTCTCCTCATCCAGAACAGGGGCAAGGACTCAACAACCGCCAGACAGGATCGAGATAACGCACCACGCGACAATGCAGCGCCTTTCCCCAGGGCCGAGAAACGTGCATCGAGGGGCAGAAACCAATGCCGGATCTCGTGCTTCTTCCTCGCGTGTTGCAGCCGCCGTCTCCTCATCATCCCCCCCCCACTCCGCCACCTCGCCCCTACGGTCCTCATTCCCCTTCATCCACATCATCGCCATCATCATTACCAGCATCATCGCCATCACTATCACTAACACCACCACCATGACCATCACTATCACCATCACCATCACAATCACCATCACCATCACCATCACCATCACCACCCCACCACTATCATCATGACCATCACCATTACCATCAACTTCAGCATCATGGTCAGCACCATCACCACCACCATCACCACCACCATCATCACCATCATCATCATCATCATCATCATCATTTATCTTCGTCATCGTCATCGTCATCATCCTCATCATTCTCGTCACCACCACCGTCATCATCACGATCATCATCCTCGTCATCACCACCTTCATCATCACGGTCAGCATCATCACGATCATCAACATCATCGCATCATCATCATCGTCATCGTCGACATCATCATCAGCAGTATGGTGTTTATTATCACTAACCGCATCACTAACTTTACCATCACCATCACCCTATCAACATCATCACCATCATCATCCTCATCCTCATCCTCATCCTCTTCCTCATCCTCATCATCATCACCATCATCATTGTCATCATCATCATCATCATCATCATCATCATCATCATCATCATCATCATCATCATCATCACCATCGTCATTTTCACAATCACCATCATCCTTCCCGCTGCTCCTCGCTCGTGCCACCCCTGCGCTTTCCCACCTGCGTTCTTCCCGTGACCGTCCCTTCGGCTCCCTCCTCGTCCCTCGCCCTTGCCCGCATCCCCCGCACCTTGTGCGGTGCTGCGCGCTGCTGCTGCGGGGCCGACTGGCCAGTGGACGGCAACTCGACAAACGGGGGCGCTCCGACACGCGCACGAGGGACTCCGGCCAGCGCGCGAGCCATTCGGACGTGAGTCCTGCGGCAACTCCCTTCCGTCGCCCCCCGCTCGCCCTACGGCCGCCCTCTTCCTCCTCCTCGCCCTCTCTCCTCCTCCTCTCAAGCATTCTGGCACGAGCGCACCATTTTGGACTCGCACTCGGCCAGCCCCACGCCTCCACGTGGTGCTTGGGGGACGGCGGGTCGTCCGCGCGCCAGAGCGCAGCAGATCCCGTCGACGAAAGTGGGGACACAGCACACGATCCCAGGGCCATGGCGAACCCGTGGAGCACGTGTGCGGTGTGCGGTGCGGCACTCACGAGTTCAATGCCAAGCTCTTGGCAAATGGCTTCAAGTGCCGCGTCTGCAACAGGCCCGTGAAGCTCTACGTCCCCAAGGGAGAGAAGAGCAAGGGCAAGGACAAGGGCAACGGCAAGGGCACTCAGCTCGAGCGGGAGGTCAAGCCGCCGCCCAAGGGGAGCATCGGCGCCGAGGCCTCCACGCAGCAGACTGTGGTCGCGCTGTCGGGGGCCCTGGCGGTGGTCAAGGATCCCAAGGTGCGGCAGATCCTCGAGGAGCAGCTGAAGCAGTCCCAGCAGGCGGCGGCGGCGGCAGGCAAGCCTTTGGCGGCCGAGGAGGCCGTCCGCCGCGCGGCTGGGGCGTGGCGCGACGCCAGCGCCAAGTACCAGCAGGCAGCGCAGCAGGTGAAGCGGCTGGAGCAGAACCTGGGCGTCGCCAGGGAGAAGGAGTCAGAGGCAGCGCGCGCGCTCGCCCTGGCGGAGATCAACCGCCGAGGCGCGGCGCAGGCCTTGGCGAAGGAGACAGGCGCGGTCGTCGAGACGGCAGCGCCCGCCAAGGCGGCCGAGCCGATGTTCAATCTCACGTGGGACACCGAGTTCTTCCAGCAGCTGGACGATCTGGA